AGAAAACCCAAAAAACAAGAAAAAAGAAATGCCCCCAGGGATGTCCCTGTGCGTCTGCACAGAGTAAGGGACTAGCTTCCAATCTGCGCTGTACTGCCTGGCTAGAAGGGGCTCCCAAGCTGAGAAAAGAAAAAGAAAACAAACAAACAAATCAAAACAGAACAAATCAGAGCAAACAAACAAAAAAGCCCCTGGGGTCCCACCAGCGTGGTGGCACGGGCTGGGAAGCAGTTTCACAGTCAAGTGGTGTTTCTCAGCTTTTCAGGAAGAAGCAAAGATGGTGCACGCAGCCAGATCTTTGAGAGAAAGGAGAGGGAGGTGGTGAGAGGTAAGGAAGAAATCTAAAGAAGCAGAAAAAAGCAACACCAGCAGCCAGCAAATGGCACTCAGAGAGCTGGCCAGTGCGAGAGGGTGGAATCCAAGTGGCACTGGGGGGAAGCTCGTGCTTCCCGGCCAATAGACTGTGGCTGCAGGAAGCAGAGGAGGCTAAGTGTGGGTGAAGAAGGGTGGGGAGTGGGAAAGCCTGTATCGTGGGTTACCAGTTGTTCTGTCTCCTGCTGGAAGCTCTGTGAATCTGCTTTCTCATACCTCCTGTTTGCTGATCTCTGATAGGAGTCCATGATGGCAGATCCATGCTGCGGTAGCTGATAGGGGACCTCTGCATGTATCTCTCCTTGTGCTCTGTTCTTGGTCAGTTTCTTATTCCATTCAGTGCTTTGCTGAGTTCTTTATCTCTTCATTTGATACTTAGGGTTTCAGGATTGATGTGTGACTCTGTTTGACTTAGTTTTTCTGATCTTTGCTGCGGAGGGACGGCGTGGTGCTTCTGACTATAGCACCATGTTGCCCGGAAGTGCCTACCTCCATACTCTTGACAAACAATAAAACAACCAACCAAAGCTGAGCCTTGACTGACCCTTTATAGGGCAAGAACTGGCATTAAAATATTCTCATCTATGAACATGGTATACCTCTTAATGTTAATTACATTCCTTCTGTAATATTATGTATTTTTCTCCACAAGGGTCTTATATATCTTTGTTAGATGTTTTCATCATTGTTGAAAATGGAAAGTTAATCTAATTATCATCATTTTATAGGGTTTTTTTTCTTTTTCTTTTTCGTAGCTTTAAAATTTTCTCTTTATCTTTATAGTCTGACATTTTATTTAAACTGTGTCTAAATGTGGATTAATTTTTAATTAAACTGCTTTGTACTTAGAATGCGTATTCAGTCTGATAATTCAATTTTTTTTTAATTCTGAAAAATTCAACCATATTACTTTGAATATAATTTTTCCTATATTTCCTCTTTTTTCAGGAATGTCATTTACATATGTTGGGAATTCTAAATTTATCCTTCAGATTCTTCTTTCACTTAAAAATGTCTCTTTATTATTCTCTACTTTATGTAGATGAATTCCTAGTATTCTTTCTCAGTTCACTGTGTTCAGTTTTGTCCAGTTTAATTTCATCTGTTGATTTTTTTTTTAAATTTCATTTCCAGAATTTCTAACTAGTTATTTTTTTATTCACCTGTTCTTGTTTTATATTTATTTAAAAAATAATTTGTTGTTTCTTTTGTGGATTTTTTTTCTTTTCTTGCCTTCTGATTTTGCTATTATTTTCATTTCATTTGGAAAGTTTTTATCTTTGTGCTGACTTTATTGTCAGTCTTTTTTCATTGTCCTCATGTACTTTGGAATCCTGGTGGTGCAGTGGTTAATAGTACGGCTGCTAACCAAAAGGTTGGCAGTTCAAATCCACCAGCTGCTCCTTGGAAACCCTATGCAGCAGCTCTACTTTGTCCCATAGGGTTGCTATGAATTGGAATCAACTCAATGGCAACGGATTGGTGGTTGGTTGAAAGCACTTTGAAGTTTTATTTTAAGATTTATCCTGACTGAAAGTTTTTTGTTTTTGTGTTTTCTTTTTCTATATACTCCTTTTCCTTTTCTAGCAGTTTTACAGTTGCCTGCAGCCAATCCTTAACTCCCAGTCCAGAACTTAGTCTTATCTTGGCAGACTGGGGTTGCTGTCCTGCCAA